AAGTTTTTGCACGACAGGATGCCAATTTACCTTGAAGGCAATTAAGTTATGGCAATGGAAAATACTAGAATACACAATGAGGTGAATATGATACACATCACAATGAATAAAAGCTGCCACCAGTTGATGTATTATTCATTATATTCAGTGAAACAATAACAAATATTCTTTGTCATGTTTGACCATGTTGACAATGTTGATATATCACAACACTAACCAGTGACTAAACTACTTACAAATTAAATAAATAAATGCTGACTTTTATCCTGCCTGGCTTGGATATATTCCATTTTGAATAAATAACACCAAAATCTCATTTCAAAATATGTTTGGAGAATGTCCTGCATTTGATTTCACGGCAGTTGGATCACATGTCAAGCAGGTGAATTTCAGTTTGTGAATATGTGTAATTGATCTCATTCAACTGAACTGCTAGCACCCAATGTATTTATCAGAGCAATTAATGAATTATATTTTATCATCCAAAACTGTGTTCCACAGGAAATATCGCTTGGGTGAGATCAAACGATATCTCCTAGGAGATATCATTTTGACAGTAGATTTTGTACAATGCCCTGACAATGCTATGATGTCATGTACTTGATGACGTCACAATGCTATGACATCGCTGCACTGCAAGTCTAATGGCAGTACCATGTTCAGAGATGTACATTTTTCATTGAAAATGAATGAAGAGTGATTTTGGATGATAAATAGAATCTCACCCTCGTGTCTTCTGATATCAAATATATCAACACTCGTTGATAAAAGTAAAAATATCCTCGGCAAGCCTCGGATATTTGTAACTTTATCAACTCGTGTTGATATAATTGATATCAGAAGACACTTGGGTGAGATTCTCTATTTATCATCCAAAACTGTGTTCCACAGGAGATATCGCTTGTGTGAGATCAAACGATATCTCCTAGGAGATATCATTTTGACAGTAGATTTTGTACAATGCCCTGACAATGCTATGACGTCATGTACTTGATGCCGTCACAATGCTATGACATCACTTCACTGCAAGTCTAATGGCAGTACCATGTACGGAGATGTACATTTTTCATTGAAAATTAATGAAGAGTGATTTTGGATGATAAATAGAATCTAACCCGAGTGTCTTCTGATATCAAATATATCAACACTCGTTGATAAAGTAAAAATATCCTCGGCCTCGGATATTTGTAACTTTATCAACTCGTGTTGATATAATTGATATCAGAAGACACTCGGGTGAGATTCTCTATCTAAAGTATTTAGTGTTACTGTTTGTTGATTAGCTTTTATAGTATTAAGACAGAGCTACTCATATTAATTTCATGAATCATTTTAGGCTTGAGGCTGATGGCCTATTTCATTTGTTCATACATTAATTTAATCATTTATGGATGTACTCATCAGTAATTGAATATTGTGTTGATTTGATAAAGGTTATCCTTAATACATAATGTTCAAGAATACATATAGGTATATCAAGTACTTAGGCATGTTCTCACCTTTGATTAGATGGAGGTGGTTTTCTCTGAGGACGGCTTGCAGCCATTACTGAGATGTAAACTCAGAAACCATGCTCATGACAGGTTATAATCCTTGAGAATTAGATCAGAAACCATATTACCAACACTTTCAGTCACAGTAACATCTGTAAACTCGTCTTGTAGAGGTCAAACCCCTCCATACTGGGAACATTCACATCTCTGTCACCAGTCCTTAACAGAGCCTTCAACAGTGCCTGATAGATTGACTCTCCTTCAGCCTCAACACCACGATTTTGGTACAACTATATGTAAGGAACTTAAAAAGGCAGCAATATTTCTTTGCTCTGGCATATTCTCATTAAGGGCCATCAAACGATTCCTACCAGCCCTGTTCAAGCTTGAGTTCCAGAATATTCTCATTTATTACACACAGGGTGCTGACTTACACTGATTATTGTCATTTTCAGCATTCCAGGGGACTGTATCAAACTGATTTCAAAATTTAAATGTTTAAAGTTTGATATAACATGTGATATTAGGACATTTGTCACAAATGCTAAGAAGAAAGAGACATAAAGGGAAATATTACTTTGTCTTTTATCTTTAGAATGTGAAATTATTTACTTATATGCATCATCTGTACATACAGTTTAAACATTCCTATAGATTTCAAAATTTATAATCTTTTCCTATTTAATGGGAAGAACTAGGCACAGTAAATGAAAAGTATTGGCAATAAAAAGTAAGCTATACCATTTTATGTTTTACAGATGTCCATTACCTGTATGTGTGTATCCGATTTGTGGATGTTATTAAGCATTCAAAGCCTGAAATCTTTACAATTGAAACACTCGGTTTAGATGATTTGTTACAAATGGTTTTTCTAGGTATTAAAACTCAAAAACACAATGCTGAAAATACATGTTTCTTAGCATCATAAACTACAACTCTTATCAGTCTTTCTGACACACTTTCCGAAACTGCTTCCGTGATAAAAGAACTTGTCGGTTAATCATACAAAATACTATCCACAGCCAATTAAAAAATGTTCATATATATATATATATATATATTGATCTAACTTAATATTTAATCAGGTGCCATCCATTTTGCCAAGCAATGTTTAATGACATATTCTTCTTATTTGAGACTGAGAAAAAGTAATACTTATCAAGAAAGGTGTTCATGAGCAATTTACTGTCCAGCAATGTCCTGGCTTCAAAACCAGTTTTTATTTTGCCAACAACCAATCAGATTGATACACATGTAACACATGCTATAGTTGGGATTATATTTTCTAAGTAAAGTACATATTACATAGCGCCATGAGCGGGTATTAGTACCTGGATGTAGCGCTATATAAATACCCACATTATTATTATATTCTAGTACTTTTGGGGGTTGAGTCCGATTCTGGATTTGAACCCAAACTTTCAGAGTAAGGCACCTAATCAGATAGTCTTTCTCACAGTCTCTGAACCACATTATTTCCCATTCCGCCCAGCCCTTTCTGAAAATGCTAAAGCCCTAAATGAGTGAGTGAGTCTTGTTTTATGCTGCTTTTGGCAATATTCCAGCAATCTCACAGTGAGGGACACCAGAAATGGGCTTCACATATTGTACCCATGTGGGGAATCAAACCCGGCATGACAAGTGAACGCTTTAACCACTAGGCTACCCCACACAATTCGGTAAATCAGCCAATAAAGTCACCATAATATCTCACTAAACCATGTATGCTACAATGTACACACCTGATCAACTATATATTTGAAAATGTCAATTTTCTTGTTGATATGACCCCTCACTCACATGATGGCTTGAGTTACCTACCCGAAATAGTGCAGTATTTCATACTGGTGGAGCTGTATTATCCAAGTGTACACCTTACAAGGCAGGTCTGACAGGGCTATGGTACTCATGCCGCTATCGCCACCATGGAACTCAGGTAGAGTTTCATCACACACACTTTGATGTTATCAGCTTCAATAACTCGAGTCAAGTGCATGCTATCTGAACTTAATGATTGATGAAAATATTCCTGAGAAATGACCAGTGCTTGTCAAAAATACATCTATCATCCAGATTGTCAGATGTTAACTATAAGCACATATTCTGTTCAAATTACGATAGGGATAAACCGATATGTCACTCCAATATAGAAACACATTTGACATATTATGAAAATCGGTATTGTGAGTCACAGAAAATGAAAAATATTTCTATCAAAAGTGGAGTTGTATATATCCATACATGACAGCAATATTCAAGAACAATTGTTCATGCCATTATTCTCATGACATTCAATATTGCCAATGCATGATCATTAATTTAGTATTAAGATTCCATGGAAACAGGAAGTGAAGGATCATTCAGTTAATCTGTCTGTCAAATAAATCTGACATATTCTCTAGTCAATTTTCAAAGTAAGTTGGTCTGGAGCTAAGGACGTATTATATGGTGAATATGGTACTTGAGATTGAGGGCAGTGATTGCCAGCTATATCACAAAACTGACACACAGTAGTGTAGCGGCCATAAAATTTCCGAGTTCCGTGCAGGGATTCGAACCACGGACCTTCTAATCCAAAGTCGGACGCCTTGTCCACATGACCAAAGAGGTTAACCCCATCAGCAGGCTGACAAGGTATTAGGATGTCATCTGTGGGATGACTCCACGCCCTGCTACAGTAGCCAATTACTACATCTCTGTAATCTCTGCATTGTGATGAGAACTATCTCACTTCATTAATGGATAAAACAAAAATATATATATGTTCGACATTTATCCTTCGCTTGTTACAGCCCATTAGTGTAAGTAGTTGCTCCAAATGCAATTATTTAATTAAAATCAATATCATAGAATTTTGATCAAAATAAACCAACTCGGGGTTAACATCCCACACGGCTGCTCTCAGATAACAACAAATGTGACAAAGAGCTGTATTTCATCTGGTCATATAAACTTACATTCAACAGCAACATTATGACATCAAGCCTGGACCAGCTGAAACATTGCTGCCATAGCCAAAGAATGCAACAAACATTCTTAGAAAAAGGTGATCTGCAACACCTTTAGTTAGTTTGTGAAAATAAGTGTATTGCACATATTGTTCATAATGTCTGAAGTCGTGTCCTGATGTTGCTTCAAAAAATCTAGAAAAACTTTCAAAGTATTTTGAAATTTGATGACTTCAACTGACAATTTGAGAATAAAACTACTTCAATAAGCTTGAATACATCAAATACACCCTCCAGTAAATATTGTATCTAAAAGGTTAAAATGTTTTCATCATGAACATGAATTGGTTGACATAAAAAAATCTTTACTATTCACCAATCTGGCTCTGAAAAGGAATAGTTTAGAGACAAATGTGGGAAGGAGTATATAAATTCCTTGTACATAACACCCCGTTTGTAACCCACACACCATCACTGTGACTGAACCTACCTCACTGTGTGGCATTCGTTCTCAACACATACAACACAAACTATGAATGAAGATGGCACTCTAACTTACTCTTGAGACCATGCAGGTTTGGATGTATTTAAGTCAGTTGCAAAGGGGTAATTTAAAGGTCCTTGTCTTCGTGCCATGCCCAAGGTGGAAGCAGCCATAAGAATGTACAACCATATCCCTCATAGCTCCAAGAATTTCCCGATTGGCTCTCCATGACTTAGTAACGGTTGTGTCACATTGTCAGGCGTATGTTGTCTGTCACTCATTCAACCCGACTTGCTACACTGGCAGACCTCTGCGACAAACTGGTCTGCACTCTCACCTCATGTAGACATGTCTCTGAATATTCATCAAGCCAATGAAATTACTTCAATTCCTAATTAGTATGATAACTTGGCAGCAGCAACAGCAGCAGCCAAACGCAGTGATGGTTGGCAAACAAAACATACAGTATGATAAATAAGATTTGACAATGGGAGCAGCATAATTATTCCCACAGGCCTTTGCGATCAATGCAGTGTAGAATGGCTCTCAGAGACACTCAATGTTGAGGTTGAAAACAAATGTATTGATCCGTCCTCAGCATCTAGCGACACTTGACGATAAGGTATGGCCTCTCAACACAAAGCATACATGTACCCTAGTGTGTCTACCTGGAATCCAGTCTGTGGCTTCACACAGGTACAGGCTGGCTCGGTGAACGATATCAACCTAGCTCAAAAAGACATTACATTGCTTTTACAAGTGGACGCCACCAGATTTCTCAGGTGGAAACTATCCACCTATCTCTGTTGGAAACAAACTAGCTGTTTTAGGTCTCAATCAAGTCTCAGGTGGAAACAAGCTTGATGTCTTGCGGGACATAAACTTGATGTCTCAGGTGGAAACAAACTTAATGTCTCAGGGGGACACAAACTTGATGTCTCAGGTGGACACAAACTTGATGTCTCAGGTGGACACAAACTTGATGTCTCAGGTGGACACAAACTTGATGTCTGAGGTGGACACAAACTTGATGTCTTGCGGGACACAAACTTGATGTCTCAGGTGGACACAAACTTGATGTCTCAGGTGGACACAAACTTGATGTCTCAGGTGGACACAAACTTGATGTCTCAGGTGGACACAAACTTGATGTCTCAGGTGGACACAAACTTGATGTCTCAGGTGGACACAAACTTGATGTCTCAGGTGGACACAAACTTGATGTCTCAGGTGGACACAAACTTGATGTCTTGGGGACACAAACTTGATGTGTCAGGTGGACACAAATTTGATGTCTCAGGTGGACACAAACTTGATGTCTCTGGTGGACATAAACTTGATGTCTCAGGTGGACACAAACTTGATGTCTCTCTCTGTGGACACAGATTTGATGTCTCAGGTGGAAACAAACTTGATGTCTCAGGTGGACACAAACTTGATATCTCAGGTGGATACAAACTTGATGTCTTGGGGGACACAAACTTGATGTCTTAAGTGGAAACAAACTTGATGTCTTGGGGGACACAAACTTAATATCTCAGGTGGATACAAACTTGATGTCTCATGGGGACACAAACTTGATGTCATGGGGGACACAAACTTGATGTCTCAGGGGGACACAAACTTGATGTCTCAGGTGGATACAAACTTGATGTCTTGGTGGACACAAACTTGATGTCTCAGGTGGATACAAACTTGATGTCATGGGGGACACAAACTTGATGTCTCAGGGGGACACAAACTTAATATCTCAGATGGATACAAACTTGATGTCTCAGGTGGACACAAACTTGATGTCCCAGGTGGACACAAACTTGATGTCTCAGGTGGACACAAACTTGATGTCTCAGGTGGACACAAACTTGATGTCTCAGGTGGACACAAACTTGATGTCTCAGGTGGACACAAACTTGATGTCTCAGGTGGATACAAACTTGATGTCTCAGGTGGACACAAACTTGATGTCTTGGGGGACACAAACTTGATGTCTTGGGGGACACAAACTTGATGTCTAGGTGGACACAAACTTGATGTCTCAGGTGGACACAAACTTGATGTCTCAGGTGGACACAAACTTGATGTCTCAGGTGGACACAAACTTGTCAAGTAAAGTTTTTAAAGTTTTTAAAAATACCCTGCATTGACAATTGGTGTTAATTAATCTCCATTGAAAAGCAAAACTTTCCCAGCAGAGCAATGTAGCTAAGATGGTCGGTCCAACATTTGACCAACCACATGTTTATTCAACTACTTATGTTTTATATGTGTTTATCAACCTAGGGTGCACATTTTCAAACAAAATGATGTCTTGCACTGGAATTTTTCATGCAAAGCACCAAACCAAACTCACTCACCCACTCAGTATTTGTTCCAGGTAGAAATACTAGCAAGAGATAGAGGTCAAGCAGTAAATGTCATATCAACATCGTACCAAGAGTTTATGTACAACAGATCATAAGTTCTTGAGTACTTTAGAAGTGTTTGTTAGCTTTCATTTTAGCATTTGCCAAAAATATGTTATATACTTTTTCTGAGCATTTACAAAGAAAATATTGATCATTATATTTCAGAACAGAGCCAATCTAGTTACTTTTACTTTGCTAAGCTTAACTGCAAGGTATTATCCTCAGAGATTTTTACTCAGAAAATGACAACTTGCACCTCAACTATAGAATGTAGGTGGTCGCATATTTGCAACATGACGTGAAGAATATCTGTGTATCTTGGCAACTTGTATTGCAACTATCTTCCTAGATAAACCAGTACTATCCACTAAGAAACTATGTTACCATATCACCAACATAGAGACAACCCATCGCACTTTATTAGACATCTTATGTGTGAGCTGTTGTACATGTGCTATAGCATGATTTGTGGTTCATCTATTTCATTAGCGGATACCTGTGCAGTTATTCCCTGTGATCCATGAGGATTGGTAGGCTAAAAAGATTATTACACTGTTCAAACAAATATAAGTGTCAGAAGTCATTTCATAGTGATAAACTATCATTCCATGGAAATATATGTCAACAGTCATTCAATAATCATGAAAAGCAGAGTTGATGTTATGATTCCAACTGTATCATGACCATGTCTTTCTGGACCTGTGAAGGTCGGGTTAGAAGTGGTCTTCAGTAACCCATGCTTGTCGTAAGAAGTGACTAACGGGATTGGGTGGTCAGGCTAGCTCACTTGGCTGACACATGTCATTGTATCCCAACTGCGTAGATCGATGCTTATACAGTTGATCACTGGATTGTCTGGTCCATATTGCTGGAATATTGCTGAGTGCAACGTTAAGCAACAACTAACCAACCAACCAATCAACCATGTCGTCCTGAATCACTGTCAGAGTCATCATACCTAGTATTCAGTAAAAGGTGAGCGTATCCTGCTCCAATGGTGGCACCAGTCACAAACACATGCAAAGGCAAGTCAATTGTTCATCTGAACATAAGCAGGAACTAATGGTGCAAGTCAAAATAGGAAATTGTATCAGACATCATATTTGTCCCTGTTGCATCAAATTTGTAAATGTCTTCCATACATCTGCTTAAAGAACACTAAATGTAAAAGACTGTAATTTGTATTTTCCTACCAACCACTCAATATTAATGACTTCATTAACCTTATCCCCATCCACCACTCACTGCGTAAGAAATTCATATCTATCCCTGCCCTAAACTTAATATATCATTAAGACCATAACCCTTGTCATTACCCACTGCTCTTTGTATTAGACCTTAACCCTTATCCTATGTTACCCACCACTCATTGTATTACACCCTGAACCCATATGCCTACCAAAACCTACTTGTACTAGACCTTAACTCTCACTTCCAAAACCTCACTGCATTAGACCTGAACCCTTATCCCTACACAAACCTCAATGCATTAGACCTAAACCTTATCCAAATCTCATTGTATTAGGCCTTACCTTTTATCCCTTCCCAAACCTCAATGTATTAGACCTTAACCCTTATCCCTACCCAAACCTCATTGTACTAGACTTATAAGAACCTCGGTCTTCGGTGTATAAGAAAAACCTCAAGGTTGTTTCCCTCCCTTGAGGTTAATCTTATACACAAAAGACCATAGAGGCATGTTTTCTTCTTCACATAAACCCTTCTCCCTACCCTAACCTCATGATATTAAGTCTTAACTCTTATCCCTACACAAACCTCAATGCATTAGACCTTAACCCTTATCCCTACCCAAACCTCATTGTACTAGACATAAACTCTCATCCCCACCCAAACCTTCTTATGTTAAGCCTTAACTCTTATCCCTTCCCAAACCTCATAGCATTAGACCTTAACCCTTATCCTTATCCCTACCCAATCCTCTGTATTAAACCTTAACTTTTATTCCTTACCAACCTCACTGTATTAGACCTTAACCCTTTAAACAGGTAGATACAATATTTTTTTTATATCTGAATAGGCCTAAAAACAAAGTCCGAAGAAAAGGATTCCCATTTCATTAAGTCTACATTGTTAATAAAGTATGAACTTTGCACTCAGGTTTCATCCTTGTTTATGTCAGTTGAAAACCTTTGTTTCTGTTCTGTTCGGCTAAGCAGATAAAAAATTCATACCACATTAGTCAATATCAAGATCCAACAGTTCCAGGTCAGTAATCCACCTTGTACTGACATACAGACAGTACATTTCTGTATGTTGTGAACAGGCAGGAAAGCGCGAGTTGGGTTTTACGCCGCTTTGAATTCCAGCAATATCACAGTTGGGGACACCAGAAATGGGCTTCACACATTGTACCCATGTGGGGAATCAAACCTGGGTCTTCAGCATGCCGAGCAAATGCTTTAACCACTAGGCTACCCTAGCACTGCCCCTGATCAGGCAGGAACATTATACCGGACTTATATTATATAAATGATGTGAACAGAGTTCATCTTCTATGTAAAGCCGAGTGTGTTGCAAGTCCTAATAATAATAATAACGCTAATTTTTGCGCTTAAAATCCAACATGATGGTGCTCTCTGGTGTTACATTATTACCCTGACCGAATTGTACTTTCAAAGCTGCCATTAAGAGCTTTGTGCAACCGTATAGGTCTGTACATCCGCTTCTCAGGTACCCATTTGATACAGCTGGGTGGACTGAGTGCAATGTGGACGAAGTGCCTTGCCCAGGGACACAACACAGTATGAGACTCAGGTCACAAATTTTGGTGTCTCCACCGGGACTCGAACCCAGGCCTTTGGCGTGAGAGGCCAGCATGCTAACCACTACACCACTGTGTTCCACAGTGTCCTAAATGTTTACCAGTTTGGTGACACCTGTGAGCATGAGTGTAGTCCTGACAAACTGGGAAATGAAATCAGTACGAAAGTAAATTACAACCCATGATTACAGGTTTCACACCACCATGACCCCAAACTATTATAAATATATGATTAACATTTATGGCTCAAATACAACATCTACTCACTGAGACTTACTCACTTAAAACCAATTCCAATACTGTTACAA